TCTGCTTGTAGTAAAGCACAACCGATTGCAAAATCGGAGGCGTCGCAGACGACGCTAAACGGACGCTTGGGATCCGGTAGCGCAAGAATTCGCGCCTGTAACATGCTCTCCTTCACAGCCTTAAAGGCCTCGTCGGTCAAAATGACGTCGAGACTCGCGCTCCCATTAACCAAAACACATACAGAGCACGAAAACTGACACTCAAACTTCGAACATCGATTGCGTGAAGAGTTCGCATCAGATGGGCATAAAACTTGGTATGACGATACAACATACATAGATGTACACAGTTATGCGACATTTGTTCATAAAAGAACCATGGTACAATCGTCTATGATTAGCTATACACACACACGCACCACACACACATACCAGCGCGCAGCAGAACAATACATGACATTGTATATGGTGCATAAAAAATACGTACTCCGTTCGAGTGGATGTGATTACACGTTGGTGCTCCGAAAGGACGACGCGTGTAGCAGCTTCGAAATAGCGACTATATGTCATGTATTCGCTACAGTCACCGTGACAAAGACTGTACTCGTGGAAAACATATGTCGAATGTATATACATATTACTGGGGAAATATATTACGCTCGGAGATTGCCAGCTAGTTCTCTACCAGTCGGGATAGTTCGCGATTTCGTCGAAATAAGTTACCATTTTTCAAATGCACGCGACAGGCTTGATTTGGGAATAGGGGTCACACCAATGGTACCATTCCACGCACCGTGAAACGTAAATATGGTTTGCACCTCGAGTTGCTACAATAGATCAAATATTGACCCCAAACCGGCGTTCCAAACCGAGCTACCGCTAGAAATGACCATCGGCCCCAGGCTGTACTCAGAATACGCGCATTACACTGTAATGCGGTGGAGGCGGTGGAGGCTACCCCACACTTTAATAGAACTTTTAACATGAAATGCGGTGGAGGCGTGATGTGTAATCGGTGAAGGCGCTCCCATCTCATTGGTCAAAATGACGTCGAGACTCGCTTCCATTGTGTATGTGTGTGTGTGTGAGTTGACTCGAGCTTTCACGCAGAAAGTACATGTTTTCCCTCAGAAAGTCAAACCTTGAAACAGAATTTTGAAATTTGCAACATAAAGTCGAAAATCGCAACAGAAAGTCGACATTCGCAGCAGAAACACAGCAAAAAGTCGAAA